GGTATACTGTGTCAAGTCTCGGGAAGGCACCCTGGTGTGTGGTATACTGTGTCAAGTCTCGGGAAGGCACCCTGGTGTGTGGTATACTGTGTCAAGTCTTGGGAAGGCACCCTGGTGTATGGTATTCTGTGTCAAGACTAGGGAAGGCACCCTGGTGTGCGGTATACTGTGTCAAGTCTCGGGAAGGCACCCTGGTGCGTGGTCTACTGTGTCAAGTCTCGGGAAGGCACCCTGGTGTGTGGTATACTGTGTCAAGTCTCGAGAAGGCACCCTGGTGTGTGGTATACTGTGTCAAGTGACTGAATCCCCAGCAACTCAAAAATCAATTCATAGAAACAGTTTCACAGAAAGCAACAGAAAAGTACACATATATATCTCAATATTTTCATAAAGAAAGATAGATCATCAAACTTACTATGGGAGTAAATACACTCCAAAATCATCAGGTTTAGCACTTACATTTTTCTTCTTTGTACTTGGGCAAGAGGTTAGCCTGTCGCTTAGCTAACATGAAGGCCAGGAAAGACAAAACGAAACCATCGAATATGAGTACAATAGACAGGATGAATGCCCATCTCATGTTGCAGCGTCCCCAGTGGTATTTTCCAGCCTCCTTTCCACAGACTTTGCGGACCATATCATCGTTCCAGCCACTTGGAAACACGATACATCCAGCTGTCATGCACAGAGCTGAAGAAATCAAATTTGAAAAAAACACAGTAAATTTACAAACACTCTTGATATCTATTTGAAATCGATTTTTCTATAAATATTCTAATTTATAGCTTTTTGTGCCTACCATGAAGAAATGGGACAGTGCTTTTACCAGCACAATTATAGGCAGGTTTTTAAAAAAAAAATCTTAATTGGTTTCATGCGATATATATCACTAATTTTGTTTGCAACACCTTAACTTCAGGGAACGCATGCACTCTATAAAACTTAAGAAAAACACTGACATGTCAGTTAGAGCTCCACCATATGCCTTACCATAACACCCCACCCACCCCCGCACCCCTCACCAACCCACCCACCCGATCTTTGTTTTAGTACCAGGCTATCTATTTAGTGACCTTGAAATTAAAAACACTTTTGGGACTATTTAAACCCCTTTTGTTACATCAACATATCACAGTGCATCACCATGTCAAATTTCAAAACAATTAATCTACTGATTCTGAGATAATTAATACGGAAACAAAAGAAGTGTGGACGAACAGACGGACACTGTGATTACTATACAGCACCCACATCTCTAAGGGTGTGCGACCCTAAAAAACACTTTCAAAAAGTACTCCTTGCAATTTGTTTGCTTGATTTGATACTCATTGTCAACAGTATCTCAGATATTTATACCTGTTTTCTGATACCAACTTCAGAAAGTTCATAGAGAAGTGGTCTCTCATTAGAGGTCAGGTCTCTTCATACAAGTTCAGTTAAGATGAAAATCACTTCAATGAGTTTATAATTAGCCTTTTCACACAGGTACAGGAATGAGGTGGTCTTGACTATACATGCATTTCTATAGCTACCTCATTCATGTGATTTTATACCTTTGTGATTATAATGTGTCTGCATGGTGATAATTGTTCTTTAAACATATTTTAATTGCATGTTCAAACCTTAATACAATTTAATGTATTCTTAACTTCAAACCTCCAATATATGAACTAATTTTGTTCACCATATAGGTTAATTTCAACCTATGATATGCTTTTTGCTTACCAATATGTTAAAACACATACAATGAAATAAACTGTATGCTTTTGTTTAAACACATCAGAATTTATTGTGCTGATGTTTAAACCATACATGTAGATAAAACTTTGTTTAAAACAATTGTGAAACAAGTTCTATTGATTTAGCACTCTTGTTTGGCCCCGATGGCAGTGCACAGGGGTTTTAATGTGGAAACTGGAGTACCTGGAGAAAACCCAAGTGATCAGGTAAGTGACTCCATACATTTTCATGTCTTATCAGGGAATCAAACCCCAGCATCTTAGTGAAAGGCGCGTGCGCTAACCACTACACCACCAGTGACCTAACCACTCAAGAACATGGCGGCACTTTATATATATGTATCAAAACTTACTGGCAATCAACTGGAGCCACCCACAGATCTTGAGGACCTTGTCTGCTTTGAGGAAGAAGAACAGGAGGATGCAGACGATGCTGATGATGAACAAAAGAGCTGAAATGCCTACCAACATGCTGGCCGCACGGAACGAATCATTGAGGATGGTTTTAAAACTCATGAAATCTCCTTTACAAGAGTAGTCGCCATCCACCTGTGTAGAACAGATCAATTAACATACAATTAAAAATAACAGATCAATTAACATACAATTAAAAATAACAGATCAATTAACATACAATTAAAAATAATATCCAACAAAAAAAGGAACATCTCTCAATACAAATTCAGAGTTACAATGAATCCTCATCTTGTGTGTCTTCTGTCACAGAATTCTTCCCATGAGCATCAATATATTATGATGACAAAACAAATTCTTATATCTCCTAAAGGGATTGGTTTCTAATGATTACATGCAAATATTACAGTTAGAAACACACACACACTCCCATTTTTGCAGATACCATCTATGGCAATGTATCCTCTTTTTAGCTGCCCACTATATATATACTGAGGCTCAAAAAGCAATGAATTACGTGGATGAACAAATCGATGCCCTTTGTGGACAGGTACTTATGTGGCCTCTGTGAGCAGGTTTGATTGTCAATTATAAATACATTAAATTAATTGTCTGCTGCTCTGTCAAATTAAAAAAAAACAAGGTGCAGCACCTTCGTGATATTAGTTTTATATTTACTTTCAGAAAAAGAAAGCCATAATATTGTTGTCATGTATAGAAGCCGAGTTATTTTCTTTACCATACCTGTAACGTTTCGCAGTATTCGTAGAGTCCGAAGAAGCCTACCCCCGGGGATTCCGCAGTATCCCCGAGCCACTGGGGCTGTACGAAGGAGACAGCGTTGAGGATAGCGAAACAGATCGTGAGTATAACCCACATGACAGTTATGACTCGTGAGGCCCACAGGTACTTGTTGTGCCGCAGTTTGGTCACCTCAGTCGAGTAAGCGATTTCTCGACTCATTTTGTCGTGTTTTCCCTCCTCGATATTCAGATCAGACTCGGTTTCCTCCTCCGTCTGCCGCTGATAAGATGTTTGGGTGAGGTCTATTCTAGGTACTGCTAACTTTCCTACCTCACTAGACAGGTGAGTTACTTACCTGGCTCAGGTATAAACAATGATAAAAGAACCGGTTCGACGGGTCTATTTTTGTCACAAAGTGTACGAGTTATCGTTCTTCGTACTCTGGCTATTTATAATTATGTACAGGTTCTAATCTCGTCTAATATATAATCAATATATTATGGGTGTATTGACAGACGAGGCTTTAACACGTGTGCTTTGTGTGTATATTCGGAATGACATTCATCAGTTTGGTATGAATAATAAACGTTAAGTTTGTTTTGAACACACACATGAATTGAAAACTCTTTTTTCGAGCTGTTTGACCAATGTTTCGACTCTTATACTGCTGAACACAACTAAGCCACAATGTGCCAAATCAATAGAGTCAGCTGTCAGAAAATATCGAGACATTTTGCCACACTAGATCTAATACTGCAGGCAAATTTCTTATTTAGATTTTAATTCACAGATATATATATACATTTGTACATAATGATAGGTACATCATATATACTCTATCGAACATAGCAGTTTGCACACTTTTGAATACCAACAAATAGTGATGAAATTACTTTAAAAGTCACGTTGTTTAATCTCCTCAGTATGTTTTATATGACTTGATTAAGGTCGGTTGATGTTAGTGAAGTAAACATCATCATTTATTGCTCGTTTAAAAAAGGAAACCTAGAGGCGGTCGGTCGAGAAGGAAGTGAAGGAAGCAGGACGGACGTGGGACAAGTACAACGATGGTCCCAAGACAGACAGCACCGGAAGTTTCTGGTGATGGCCTTATGTGCGACACCGCACGCAGTGGATTAAGTAAGTAAGTAAATAAAAAAGCCCTACACTTTCGAGAAATATATGCTTTGATGTCACTTTTAATAAAATAAAATAAAAATCAATAAACATGCAAGTCCGTGTTAATTACAACACGTTTTAACGTTTTTAACATGTTATATGTAATTATTAACAATGACATACATCGACATTGTAGAAGATATTACAGATGTTATTAAATATTATTTTCTCACTCGCAGCAAGAAAAAACATGAATATTGTAGATGAGGACTGACGCTCTTCCGGCCGAAGTAAGCTTCCGGGAGTAATCTTTATATTGAGACTGGATATAAACCGGAAGGAACATTTGTGTTTGAGCATTAACCAAAACTTGGGACTGTTAAATTCATTTATAAATCCTTTGGCCCTTTCTGATGTACTGACGTGTGTCATACTTGTACTTTTCAATACATAAACATGTTTGATGTCATCTGTCCAGAACTTGAATCAGCCTCGTATAAAACCATTGATTAGGGGGCGTCGACTCTCCAAAATACGTCGGTAAAAATGACAAATTTCATCCACGAAGTTTGAAAACCAGTAAACTACTATTTTGCCTCAGTCATATCGAGTTAAAAAGTATATGACATTTGAAATCTTGATTTGCACTCATGAATCACTATCTGAGAGAAGGTGTTCAAAGCCTTTTTACATGTCGCTGTTTAAGTTCAAAACTTTATTTTGACTTTATTTTCATTATTCATCTTATATCGTTTTCAAAGTTAAAGCATTTAAAGAGTTTATCTGATATATGTCTGCACAATTTTATCATTCAAAATAAAGAACTTAAATAAATGTCTGTTTACGTAATCCATCAAAAGATACCATAAACATACCGATTGCTCAGCAACCTCAGGAACAGGGTTTGATCAAGGAGTAATGGGGGTTCGTTCTCCCAATCATACAATTTCAATAATTTAAAAAAGGTGGAAAGAGATGAAAAGAAGAAAAGTGACTGAAAATGAAATGACACACTCCAAGTATTTAATGTTAGTCACAGCCAGTGCCGGGAGTGGATTCATCATTTAGGAGCGGGTCTAGTGTATGGGGACCAGTGGGACCAGGGGACAAGAAGCCCTCCCCGACAAATTATCATAGGACATTTTGTGTGTAATTTCTTAGTTAGAGGAAACATAACGATACAGGATCAGTCTAAACTTGCTCAAAACGATATGCATGTGATTAAAATTTAATAAAATAGGGTACGTCTTCTCTTATCAGCAATTATTTGGCTTATTTCGCGAACTTAACACGTTTTTAAAGTCAAGGGGGAGGGGGTTCCTATGTTTGAGTTGCGACACTCAGGGTTATTTTAATAATGTGTTTTGGTGCATTCTGAGGCCTAAATTAGATGATTTTTTTCAATTCTAATTATTAGATTTTGACCTTTTCACACTCAATGCTACAAGTTTTGTGTTTTGATTTGTTTGGTGTGGGGGTCGTTTTTAGGGGGGGGGGGGGGGTTTTT